CTATCTATATCTTTATTGTTAGATTTATGTTATTACAGGTATTATCATTCGTAACGAATTAATTTCTTGTACATTTTTTACTTGTTATTTTTTTTTTCTTTTTTGCGTATCGATCAGAGTTATATTCTTTATATTTTCCTTAAAAAATAATTTCATGAAAAAAAAAAAAAACTGAAGAAAACGTTAAATAGAATTGAATAGTTTTCCTCGCATATTTTATGTTAAACGAAAAACCCCTGAAGAACAAATTTTCCTGTATGAACAATAATTCTTCAGAATTTGAATTTATCAAAGACATCATTGAGAAATGGACAAAAACTGGACAGCGTACTTTAAACTATTATAGTTTTATTCATGGGTATGACGTGTACCCAACAAGATTTAATCAAAAGAGAATAATATAAAAGGACCAGGATGACAAATTGTCCCACGTGGGGGTCGGTCATCCTGCTGGTATAAACATAATAGAAATAATAATACAAACGCGTTATTACACGTGCTTGGTCAGTGACTAACTCTAACACATACATTACTTTCTTTTACCAACACAAGCATTACTTTTCTATATATTAAACGTTTTAAACGTATAGATGAACGATAGAAGCATGAACTGTTCACGCCCTTAACCGAACGAGATCACGTTCCTGGGGCATGTTAGGCATCCGGTGTGCATCTCCACTTGTGGGACTCAATGATAGACTCAGGATTTCACGTGATTCTTATTTGTCCAATAACAAAAACACAATTACGTTCAATAAAGCAGGGTTGCTTTTTTTTTTCTTTTGTTTCATTTTTAATACTCGATAGCTCGGTAATTTTCCTATAATTATTTATCGAATATAAATTCGTTATTCGTCGATTAAAATATTTGTATAAATTAATATAAATATAATAAAATTAATATAAAATTTGTATAATATTTTAAAATATTTATTATAACTAATTTAAAAAGAAAATATAATACAACAGTTTGTTTCTGATGTTTATTTACCACCTCAACTTGGCTAAGACTAAAAGAGGATTTAGAAATTAAACATATAATGTTGCAATTTTACTAAAAAGGAATCTTTACTAATTGTTCATAATAATTATTAATTATTATCTATAAATTAATTTAACTTCATTGATAATTATTAATTTAAATTTTGGTTCAATATTGTAATTTTACTAAAAAAAAAAAAAAAAACATTCACCAATATCTTTCAAAATAAAATTATTGATTACCTATAAATTAATTTAACTTCATTGATAATTATAGTTCTAAATATTTGTATTATCAATGTTTTACAATGTCTATAAAAGTTAATAATAAAAAGCATAATAACTTTACAGCAGCTTATTTTTAATTTATCTTCTAACATTTTGTTCTCAATTAGAAATAAAAGAAATTAGAAATGAAAAAAAAAGAAAAAACAAAAGAATTGTTTTTAATCTCGATAATAATAGGCTTAAATCATATCAATACATAGGTCGGCAAGTAGAAAAGAATTGAAAAATAGTGATATTGATTATTCCTAATTAAGTCGAGTAAAATGAAAGCACACATGGTGGGGGGTGATACAGCTGTACCATAAAACGGAGCTTCCCATCAACGATTCGGTATTACAATCTAAACGGATCGTAACTGTTAGTCGTTGAAAACTTGTTCGAGATAAAAGAAGTCTCTTAGGAAGGAAGTAACAACTTCTATTATTTTTTAATCTGTTTTGATCAGTGTGCGATAATCATGGTCGACCAAGAGGAACTCGATCGTTGTTACGATTATGTTTTAAAACTTACTATCGAATCAGGAAAGGTATTTATAATTATTTTCATTCAATGATTATTTACAACAAGTGTTTTCCTTTCAAATGAATTAATAAAACATAAATTAAATTTTGAAAATAATTATCATGTGAATTTAAAATAGTATAATTAATAAAATAATATATACATATATATTTAATATCTATTAAATTAAATTATTCAAATAATTATTATTGGACTTTAAAGTATAATTAATAAAATGATATATAT